ACTCAAATTTCCATACCAAAATGAAGAATGTTGAATTACGTCTGAAGCCTACTAAGTCACAACGAGAAGTACTACTTATCATCCACACTCTTAGAAGAACACATGAAGTCATCAAAAATAGAAGAAACGAGAAGAGAAAAATGGACTAGCGCTTATCCACAAGTCAAAGTTCCGTGCGTTAGAGCAAGTACACCTACCAGTCATTAAAAAACAATGCCTCTATAGCTACAATGCCGAGAAAGTACAAATATGTCTAGGTTATGATTGAAGTCAGACATAGAAGTAAACAAACGGTACAAAAGACTTCACATAACATAGATTTAGCGAGCAAACATTTAATGTAAGATCAAATGCATTAAATACAAGATCTACGAAGCCTAGACACGCTAAAGCAAGAAAAATCAGATGATGGGCGGTCAAGCATCAAGATCAGGTCTGATATAAAACAGAAGAACATTCAACAAACACTAGACGAGGCATACTACAAGTCAAAGCCTTGAAGTATCAGATGAAAAGCCAAAACAGGGCTAAATTTGAAACAAGACAAAGATGGGTTAAACATCAGATGAAACCAGATGGTCAACTCATATAAAAGAACAGTCAAGGCAAGGCACATCATGAGAATCAAACGAACCAAGCTAACAGAATAGACAAATTATAATGTGTACGACAGATGACTACTAGTATAATATCAGACGAAGTTGTGTCAAGGAATAGAAGAAAGTCAACTACGCATAAGACGAAGGATAGCACAGACCAAGAGATATTTCAGATAAAAACAAAGTCTTTTCATCTATAATGTTGACCAAATCGAAAGGAAGTCAAAGCATTAAACTCAAATGCTCAGACAAAAATCACAGATTGAGATGCATAGGGCTAACAGACCAGACGAACTTTGCCATGCAAAACACTTAAAGAATCAAGTCTCAAAGGACAAATTAAGGTATCGTCTACGATCACTTAAATGCTCTCAACATGATAGCATGATGAAAGAAGAAGAAGAATAGTACGCAAAAGCAAGAGCATGCATGTGTTAGAAAAAATACATCACTTTTTTAGATAAGGACAACATTCCACAGCTATGCGACCAGAAAAGGACAAAGAGGTTCCTAGGTCTTTGCTAAATTCAGACACAACTTCTAACAAGACAAAGAAGACTTCATGTAATGTCCATGAATGGGAAGCAACATTTAATGCAAGATCTTAAGCATTAAATGAGAAGATCAAACTAATCATAAACGATTACATCTACTTCAACGGAGACTTGCAAAGGGCAAATTCTATAGGACAATATATATATCACTACCTCAAACCTTGAAAGGCTAGCTTTTGCATTTTTAACTAGAGTGATATCAACCACATGAAGCAACAAACCCAGAGATAGAGCGTATAGAGTCAAATGTACCATAGTGTATTCATCTCTGTAGACTAAGGAGTTCCAAGTGCATCTTAGGAACATGAATCTTAGTGAGTGTATTCATTTTCGTATCCTCTCTGTGAAAGTAAATCATACACTCAATATATATAATTAACATAAATAACATGAGCAACATTAATGAAAATCATTTATGGTCCACACATCACTTCCTAGAGAACACCTCATACCACATTAGAACACCTTTTAGCTAAAATGGCATTTTCGCTCAGTGAGCTTTAGCGTGCTAGGCAACTTTAGCTCTATGTAGTTGCATGGTGAGCGAGAACAAACTCGTTTAGTACCTCGAACCTTCTATGGCTCCTCGTTGAGAAAATTTCTATTTATTTGTAGCAGTTTTTTTTTATTTGAACATAAAATATAATTTTCCCATTTTTTTGCAATGTTTTTTTTGGTATGCGGGCTGGCCTGCCAACCCGTCCTTAGGCGGGGCAGGCCAACATTCTCAACCTATTTTTCATTGGTGGGTTAGCCCGGCCTGACCCATTTTTGGTGGGCCATTGGCAGGCTGGGCCAAAACGGACCGGACTGGCCCATTTTTCCACCCCTAGTAACTATTATAGGACCATCAATAACTGTGGAAATTTCTTGGGTCGGAAAAAATGTAAAAGTTGACAATGTCACACCGTGGAAGGAAACCTAATTAGCAACCACGTCCACACTCCAATTTGTTCTAGAAAATACTATTGATATAATTGAAAGAAAAGGGCATGGAATCGCAAGTAGATCCATCTATTTTGTATTATAATTAATTCAATTTTTTTTAAAACAAAGATAAATAAGGAGTGAGAACAATTAAGCTAAATAAGTTTGAATATTTTTAATTATTTAAAATTTAATATAATATAAATTACATAAATAGAATGTATTAAAGAATATTAATCAAGTAAATGACAGTGATAAACATTATAAAATAATTAAACAACATAAACTAGAAACACTTTATTAATTATTAAGAATAAAAAAACATCTTACATAAAACAAGTAAAATGAGGTTAGGGAAACTTCACTAATTAAATATAGACAAACATAAAATAAATATAACCGTATAGGAAATAAACAAAATTTAAAAGAGATAAAAGTCTCCCCCTTACTTTAAGAAAAGTAAAGTTGAGATATCATATTTAAGTTTTTACTCTTTCTTTCTTTTTTTATTCTCTCTTCCTTCTCTCTCTTCTCTCTCTCTCTCTCTATCTATCTATCTATCTATCTATCTATCTATCTATCTATCTATCTATCTATCTATCTA